TACCACAAAATAATTTAAATCCTCTTAGAATCGCCTAGGCATTTTATAGGCAAATGTACTAATTATAGGGCCATGTTGCCATCTGACTACTATACAATCAGTTCAGTGGAATGTAGTCCTTCCCTGCCTGACATTGGCATTTCCCCTTGCAAAAAGAGTTATTTGCTGGCTGCTGCTGGCTGTGTCTGGACACTTTCAGGCAGTGGAAACACTATTGTACCAGTGTGTGGCAGTAATTGCTCTCTTCCTGTGCCTAGGACTATGGGAATCCTACAAGCTCTTCCAGCCAATACTGCATGGGGGATGATTTTTGTGACATCATCTCTGTTTCCATAGTTGCCACATGTTGACTGATGTCCTGGGTGCATGGCTAATGTGGGAGCACTGGTAGAAATGACATTGGGATTAGAATGTGGCAACAGAACTGCAAGTTATGCTGTGGAAATGTCTATTACTATTTGCCCTTTTTCCTGCCATTAATGTTATGCTTTTGACCTTGTTCCTTGGGATATAACACCCCCACTAGTTACAGCAGTGTAAATGCAGAAAGAGATACTACTATCAAAACTGTTCTGACACACTTCTCTACTTTTGTTTAATGGTATATTCACTCTTGGAAAAGAAAACCTTAATGTTTAACTTTCTGGAGTAATTAAACAATGTATAATATTTGAATTATACCAACCTTGAAGCATGTTCTGTATCCTATATTACCAGAATTTTATTGAGAAAACAGGTGAGGTGAGAAGTTCTAATCTTACTAACATGTCACCACTACCTCTACTACCATCACATAACTTCATATGTATATCTATGTATGTCTAGCGTTTCCTCATCCCCTTCTTCCTATAGTCCACCACATGGCATGACATTTCGATTCCATAAAACAGATTGGGCAAAGCCACCTTTAGAGCTGATTAATGAAGAATATTAACTACAAATGGTGAGTAACTAGCTACACAATATTGGTATATTATCCACACAAGTACTTAAAGTCATTCACTAAAAAGAAGACAGTATTTCTGGATGAGTACACTTGCACAGCTATTGAATTTTCTTTTAATATATTTCATAGCAGCAACTAAAACTCAAGCAGAATGAGAAATATCCCAGAGGCACCTGTAGAGCTACGAAGGCCCAGAAAAAGAAACCTGTTCCTTCCTGAGAACTTTTTTCTTCAATTTTTTTCAATGAAAGACTTGCAAATTTGGGGGAGCATGGTAAAAAAATTCCAATGAAACATTTATTCTTTCAGAATCAGTGAAATGTTTTAAAGAAAAGAATTTCCTCATTTAAAACTGTATTATGAAGATTTTTTATGTAAGGCTTTGAGCAGTTGTGAAGTAATGAATCATGTCCTATTGAGTCGCAAACCACCTTGTGGTGAGCACGTACACGGGTCTTATTCAAGGCAATAGATGAGCTGATGGTTTGCCAGTCTTCCTTGGTGGTCTCCTATCCAAGTACTAACCAAGACCAATCCTGCTTAGCTTCCCAGCTCTAACTAGCTTGGGCTAAGCTGGGCTATTCAGGTAACTTCTGCAGCATTAGAGAACTATAATTCCTACATGTACAGTAGACATACGAAAAGTACTTTCAAGGATATGTTTACTGTTTAAATGTGATTTATTTTGTCCACAATTAATATGCTACTATGTGTATGATACACTATTGAAGAGTTCAATTTTTAGATATGATGTAGTATAACCCTGTATTCAAATATGTTGCTAATCCTACGGTAACTATACAAAAGTGTTCCTGTGAAATATACATATTTTGTTTACTAAAAAATGTGTTTTCTGCTTCCAGCTTTGCTCCACTTCCTCTTTCAGATGGCAAAAATTAAGATGCACCTGCTATGGCAGTGCGGTTTGCAGCTCTCTCCTCATACTGACTATATCAGCAATAAAGCCAGCATGGGGTTGTGATTAGAGTGGGAGCTGGGGCTGGGAGACCCAGGTTCAAATTCCTACACTGTCATGGAAGCCTGTTAGGTAACCTTGAGCCAGTCTCTCTCTTTCTCAGCCTAATCTACCTCACAAGGTTGTTGCTGGGAGATAAAATGGAGAATGGAAGAACAATGCTTCAGGCCAATTAGGATCCTCATTGGAGATAGAAGTGTATACATATCCAAGTAAAACAATTAATTACTTGCATAAAGTTAAGGTATTTATACTTCTAAATTACACAAATATGCAAAGTAGTATAATTTTATATTATAAGCAATAATTGAAGCATTTTATGTTATTTAAACAGTAAAGTAACTATAAGCTTTGTAGGGAAGTACTGTGCATATTCTGGGTTTTCCCCAAAAAATATTCCCAGGCTTTTCCCATGGCTCTGAAACCTCTGGAAATTTTACACCTACAGGCACTTGGACAATAAGGTACCTTAAAGATTTGATGGGAGAACCTACAAGTGTACACGATCATAGATATGTGCCTAACATTTCAATACTAGCAAACTTTTTAAAAGCTTATTCTGAAGTCTTCAGACTTTAGGTATTTTTCAAGTCTCAAAATATGAAATGTTGTATTAATATTGTTCTGTCGGTCAAGAGCACAGAAAAATTGGCTTACCAAATCTAAAAACTAGTGCTACAACAGACATGGGGACCAAAGTCCAATGAACAGGAACAGGGCTGGGAAGTCAAATAACTAGTACTCCATGAATTTATTTGTAACACTTGGACATGTTGCCACCTTCTCATCTGTGATGTAAGCAACATGAAGTCCATGTGAGCCTATGTACAGGACCTCTATGAGGATTAGCAGAAGGCCAAAGAGAGGATGATTCACTATACAAATAAGATAAATCAATTCTTAAAATCAGGGATGTAATTTTCTCCCTCCCTTTCTCCAGACAGTTTAGATTCTGTATTTTCATATCATAGAAAACTTCCATTGCCACTGGCAAACAGATTCTAAATGACATGTAGCATATAGGATAAGAGCGAATATGTAAATGAAAAAAAATTCAAGAGAACTCACAAATTCATGAGATGTTTACTCCCACTACCATAGATAGAGTATGCAATTATGGACCGGATAATACTAATAATGGAGGAGTAGCTTCCCATATGGCTATGCTGGAATTTTTTACTAGACAAATATCTAAACATAGACAACCACATTTCAAGATTACAAACTCAACCCAGACAACCTATTAATCCAAAAGAGATTACAATATACATTAGAGTTTATCTATACATTTCATAAAAAGAAATTGCAGTATAGTGTTTACCTATACATTTCATGTTTGTTGTATCAACACCTAGAGTATTTCTATCTTAACAACAGTAACAGTAACTCCTTAATTAAACAGCCTCATCCATAACTATATAAAGTGCAATCATATCCCCCAAACCCACATACCAAGCAATATTTCAGTACTTGTATTGTCCCTAAATGTCTATTAATATACCTAGAAAATTCACTACTGCTAGAACAACTTCAGACACAGCAGCTGGTTATTTAACTGCTACACATTCAACTGCTAAATTAAGGGGGCAAAGGCTTGTCATAAGAAACCTTTTAAAAATGCCATAAACATACTGTACCCTTTGTACTGGTTAAAGAGATTAATAGTACATATTAATAGTACATATACTAGGGGGAAAACTTGTGGGAAATGGGCACATGTTATGGTGACACAACACAAATAAAGCGAGATTTATCAATACTTTAAACTATAAATAATCGTATCATTTCTTTAATATGAAAATCTAATACTGAAGCCATTAGTAAGCATTTAAACATTTGTACACCAAACAATACCATGTAAAATTAATAGGATTGCCCCTTGAACAACAACCTTTTGATGTATGCCTCATAAAAAGCATTCAAGATTTATCTGGTGGCATTCTACATGCACTGCAAAAGTTGAGGACATTTAAATATCTAAGTTAACAGGACTTCTCAAAGCTGATAACAGGCATCCTTAACAACTGCAGGGTCCCTCATGATGAAAAATGTCTTAGTAACTCTTCCATCTTTCATCAGAATAAATATTGCAGAACGGATACTTATGACATCACTGGAACCATGATTATTGCCCAACCTTTTATGTCATATGCAGCATAGCCTACATATCACACAAGCTCATCGACTTTCACCTACACCAGTTCCAGTGAAGTCAACATACCACTCAGGCCTATCTACTTTCACCTACACTAGTTCCAGTGAAGTCAACAAAATTATTTTGATTTAAGTTGCAATGGACCAGCACCTGTTCCTTGGTCTTTCCCTGCCAAACGACCATTTAATTTTGTTAGGTATCCATAACAGGTAACAGCATTCTCCCAAGTGGGGCAGCATATCTTCCAATACTAGTGAGGACCCAAACAGAATTCTTAGTTTGAGTCCATTCTGAAGTAACCCAAGGACAGACCTTGACCCAAACACCAAATGTCGATTTGGGCCAAACCCGCTTAACCCCAGCAACAGACAAACATGAACCAAGTGTAGCTTAATATTTGTGTCCATGGACTTAACCACCCCCAAACCCGCCGTGGAATAAAGAAGGCAGGAGGGAATTTGTGGAACGAAAAACTCTTGGTTCTTGTCTGCAGAAACCAGACTTTCTCCCACACAGCACTGAACGAAGGAGGCACGGAGGAGCCCAGGCCCACGGTGCCTGCTTTTAATAACAAGGTGCGGTGGGCGGGGCTGCCCAAGTGCAGATGGGCTGAGTCATCCCCCCTCAGAGTTAACTTCGGGAACAGGGCCGGACTAGTTGCCTCGACTCGAAGGAGACACATATCCGGGGGCTTCGACCCTCCGCAGCTTCCAGCCTCTCAACACGCGGAGCCCCCTTCATTGTCCACGGACGCTCGCCTTCGGCGCCACAAACACACCACGGAGTTCGCCTCCCTTAAGGAGCTCTTTTACGCCCCCCACCCCCAACCAAGGAGGGCGGGCGTTGGTCGCCCCGGTAACGGTAGCTGCCACCGCGGCCAATATACTCGCTCGACTGCCGGCCTCTCTTCCCGCCCGACTCACCCGAAGGAGGCCGCAATAACAGCGGCAACAGCTGGGCGGCCCCGCGCACCATCCCGCGCCGGTGACCGGCGGCCGCGACAGAAGCTCCTCCTTCTCGCTGCGGATCTACAGGGCAGCTTCAGGCCGCCACCCGAATGAGAAAGGCGGACGGTGCGGGCCGGCACGGCGGGACCGCCAACAGGCCGCGAGAAAGGGGGGACAGGCGCTGGGGGGGACCTCCGGGAGCTTCTCGGGCCCCCGATCGCTTAGTGCAACCCCGACTACCGCTGTTTGTTATTGTCGTCACTCTCTTGCGCCGCAATGCATGCCGGATAAGTCACAGGCCGGATGAGCGGAGGGGAGTGAGAGAGTAAAACCATAGAGAGGAAGAGGCAGAGAGAGCGACGTTACCGTCGGCTCAAAGAGGACGGGGGAAGAGGAAGAGCTTCCTGACAAAAGACGCCAAGTAGAAGTCGCTACTAGTCCCCAGTATAATGAGGTGGTGTTCAGAGATGGCGAGGGAGGCTGTTGGGGTGGGAAATGGGTGTCTTCCTGATTACGGAGCTTCTTAGGAAATGCGGAGAGCAGAGTGAAAGGGTTTTCCCCGGTTTATTGAACCTCTTGTTGAACAAGACTTGTTCCCATATTTATCTAAAGACCAATATGTAGTGTGGTTGGGTACTGTGGCTATTCAGGTATCCCAAGACTTTCTTTTCTTTTTGCCGCCTTGTACAAACCCAGATACCTCTCTGCACTGCACGTACAGGGGACAATTATATGTATTTGGGTACTTCTATCCTGCTTTTCTTCACTTAGCGTGTCCTCAAAGCTGACTACAATATGAGAAAAACGCAGATCATCAAATACAGCAAATCTACTTATTGTCAATCAACTAATCCTGAAGAGAGGGGAACAGCACTGGAAGTCAAAGGTATGCCTTTGATGGCCTCCGGTGATTCCTCCTTTCTTCTCTGGAGGTAGTTTCCTGGAAGGTTTCAAGGGCTGAAGAAAAGGAGCAGAGCAGATGGTAAAATGTCTGCCTCAGTGGTAACAGCCTTTTTCCAGGCTAAGAGAATGATCCTAAGCAGGTCTATTCAGTGGACCTGAAAGCAGGCAGTGGTGTGTCCACTTCTAAAGAAATCTACTCTGCGTGTCTCAAATGTTCCATTCTTGAGCAAGGTAATTGAACAAGTGGTGGCTGGGCAATTTCAGGGATTCCTGAATGAAGTAGATTTTAGGATCCATTCCGCTCTAATGTCAGGCCTGGTTGGGACTGAAATAGCTTTGGTTGCCCTGGTGGATGACACTCACTGGGACATGGACAGGGTGTGTGTGACTATTAATTCTCCTGGACCTTTCAGTGGCTTTTGATACCATTGATCAAGGTATCCTTCTAGACTGCCTTTCAGGGTTGGGCCTAGGAGGCACTGTTCTGCAGTGGTTTCATTCCTGCCTTGAAGGTAGGTTTCAGAGTGATGCCAGGGGATCGCTACTCTGCCACTTGGCCTCTGGCTTATGGGGGTCCCCACAATTCCACCACTCCCCAGTGCCTTTCAAAATGTACATTAAGACAGTGGGAGAGGTCATCTGGAGATTTGGGCTGTGTTGCCACCAATATGCAGATGACACTAAGCTCTATCTTGCACTTCCAGCAGATCTGAGGAAGGCTATGGAAACTGTGAACAAGTGCCTGGAGGCAGTTTTGGAATAAAAGAGGGCTGACAAAACTGAGACATAATCCTGACAAAACAGAGGGGGTACTGGGGGGGCATCTGACCTGGGAAATGGGATATCTCCTGTTTTGGATGGGGTTGCGTGTTCCCTAAAGGAGCAGGTTCATACTTAGGGGTGCTTTTGTACCCAGGTCTCCTGTTGAATAAACAGGTAGCCAAGGGTGCCTTATACCAGCTATGGATAAGCCAGCTGTGGCTCTTCCTGGAGGGAAGGGTCTGCCACTGCTAAATTAGATTATTGTGATGTGGTCTACAAGGGGCTGCCCTTGAAGACTATCTGGAAGCTACAGTTAGTAAAGAATGCTGCAGCCAGAATGTTGACTGGAGTAGGTCATAGGAACCATATAATTCCAATCTTTTCCCATCTACCCTGGCTCCCAGTGTGCTTCTGGGCCCAATTCAAGGTGTTAAAGCCCTATACAGCCTGGGGCCAGCATATTTTAAGGTCTGCTGACCTGCCCATCCATTCCAGTCATCTTGGTCGTGGTGCCAAAACTTTGGAACTCTCTGAGAAGATTGATCTGGTCCCTCTATTACTGTTTGGGTGGCAAGCATATTTTAGCTCGCCCACAGAGCCAAATGGACCCGGTGCAGCTTCAAATGGCCCTGCAGGATCTGATGCCCCCTGGCAGCTCGCTAGATGAGCTTGTCGACGACTGGCAAAGCCGGCTCTCGGCAGCCATCTATGAGATCGCTCCCCGACGTCCTCTGCGCCCCCGCTCTAAACTCGCTCTGTGGCATACACAGGAGCTGAGATTGATGAAGCGGGAGCTTAGACAACTAGAGAGACAGTGGCAATGTGTTCAGGACAAAGCGTCAAGAACATCCTATAGGACGTTTATGAGATCCTATGAAATAGCAACCAAGACCACGAAGAAAGATTACTACGTGGCCATGATTGCGTCTGCTAGCTCTCGCCCACCACAATTATTTAGAACAATTCGGTGTCTTACTACTCTGCCACAGAGCAGACTAAATGATAAGGATTTGGAAATTGGCTATGAGGCTTTTGCGAGCTATTTTGCAGATAAAGTCTTGTCGCTCCGCCATGACCTCCCCGCCACAGTTGAGACAGTAACGGAACTCGAGGCTCCATGCGCGTCTTCTGGTCAAGTTCTGGATTATTTTGGTCCGCTCAGCCTAGACGAGGTTGACAAATTACTCTCATCAGTTCACCCAACCACTTGCAGCCTTGATCCGCGCCCATCATGGCTAATCAAAGCTGGCCGTGTTGGGCTGCGAGGGGCACTAAGGGAAATTGTCAAGAAGTCCCTCACTGAAGGACTGTTCCCTAGTGCCCTAAAGGAAGTGATGGTCCGCCTTCTCCTAAAAAAGCCATAATTGGATCTGGCTGAATTGGCTAGTTACTGGCCAGCATCCAATTTGCCCTATTTGGGCAAATTAATTGAGAAGCAGTTGCGGGGTTTTTTGGAGGACACCTCAATATTAGATCCCTTCCAGTCCGGCTTCCGACCAGGCCATGGGACAGAGACGGTCCTGGTCGCCCTCACAGACAATCTCCAGAGGCACCTGGATCGAGGCAGTACAGCAGTGTTAATGCTGTTGGACCTGTTGGTGGTGTTCGACATGGTCGACCATCAACTACTGATCCACCGCCTTGCCATTACGGAGATTCAGGGGCTTGCCTTACAGTGGCTCTCCTTGTTTTTCCAGGGCCGGGGACAGAGGGTGGCAGTCAGGGAACAGTTATCCGGAAGGCACCCACTAACCTGTGGAGTGCCCCAAGGAGCAGTGCTTTCCCCAATGCTGTTTAATATCTATATGCGCTCCCTTGCCCAGATTGCCCGGAGACATGGACTGGGTTGTCACCAATATGTGGATGACACCCAGCTCTATCTGTTCTTGGACAGCCAGTCAGACTCTAGTCTGGGAGATCTGGGCCTGGCGCTGAAAGCTGTGGCTAGTTGGCTTAGGCTGAGCTGACTGAAATTGAATCCGATGAAGATGGAGGTCCTGTGCCTGAGTTGGAGTGGCCCAAGGTTAGGGATCCCTCTCCCGACCTTTGATGGGGCGCTGTTGGTGCCAGTGCCAGAGGTTAGGAGTTTGGGAGTGCTCCTGGATGCCTCCTTAATGATGGAGGCCCAGGTAGCAGCCACTGCAAGATCTGCCTTTTACCATCTACGGCTGATTAAGCAGCTGGCTCCCTTCCTTGAACGCAATGACCTGGCTACACTGATCCACACAATGGTCACCTCGAGATTAGATTACTGCAATGCTCTCTATATGGTGCTGCCCTTGTCCCAAATCCGGAAGCTGCAGTTAGTGCAGAATGCAGCGGCGAGGTTGTTGTGTCTTCCTGTGTGGGAACACATCCATCCTGCCCTAAAGATGCTGCACTGGCTGCCTATAGCATACCGGATAAGGTTCAAGGTGCTGGTTCTTCCCTTTAAAGCCCTATATGGCCGGGGACCTACTTACCTAAAGGACCGCCTCACCCCCCATGTTCCGCAGAGAGCACTGAGATCTGGATCCCAAAAGTGCCTGGTTCTCCCAGGCCCGAAGAAGCCAGGTTGGCCATAACGAGGGCCAGGGCCTTTTCCGTGGCGACCCCTTACTGGTGGAATGAGCTCCTGGAGGACATCAAGGCCCTGCAGAACCTTTTACAGTTCTTTAGGGCCTGCAAGACGGAGCTCTTCCGCCAGGCTTTCAAGTAGGGTGCCGCCTCAACTTTATGGCCCTGGCCCGCCATCAACTTTATGGCCCTGGCCTTAACATTTGCACCACCGACAGCTGGAGCTGGCAGGAGCCTGGAGGCAGCCACTTCCTTGGTTTTGGTGTTCTGTGTTTTTCTATATTTTTATTGAGTTATTTTACATAAACTTTATTTTAAATGTTCTTTTAATATTGAAATGTTTGATGTCACTGCATTTGGGTGGAAAGGCGGCACAGAAATGTTTTAAATAAATATATAAATGGTTCTTACTCTCAGGAAAGTATTCTTAGGTTTGCACTGTCAAGTCACCAAATGCTTCCTTATTTTTTCATTCACACATGTGTGCACCACCCAGAAACAAACAGCCTGGCAGGGCAGGGCAGGCCCTTGGGCCCAGCATCAAGACTCACCTGGAGATGCTGGCATTCCTAATTCAGGGAGACTTGGGTAAAGGTGGATGGAACAGACTGGGACTGGGGTAGAAAGGTGCAGACAGGATAGCCTTGGTGGTCTGGCCCAGGGAAGCTGAAAGGGTGTGGAGGCAGTGAGCAAGCCTGGGTGGAAGAACAATGGCTTTCTGGGCCCAGGTGTTTCAAGGTAGGGCAGGGAACAGAGAAGAGGAGGGTGGAGCTTAGCTCAAGGGGCAAGTGTGAAGATGGAACTATAAAAAGGAAAGAAGGGGAAATTGCAGGAAGCTGGCAGAAGAAGAAGGGAGGAGTAAGAGGCAGGTTACAGTGTTGTGGCTCTTCCTTTATGTAATGCAGTGTAACCCTGAGGTTGGGGAAGTGAACTACACCTTCAGGTGCCTGGATTGATAAATCAAGCAACCTGCATAAGGAAACAATGACTGGGCTTGTGATTTCAAGACTCAGTGGAATCCAGGTTCAATTTT